TGAGCAAGAGCGAGACCCCATCTCTACTAAAAATAGAAAAAATTAGCTGGGCGTAGTGGCACATGCCTGTAGTCCCAGCTACTAGGCAGGCTGAGGCAGAATTGCTGGAGTTCAGGAGTTTGAGATTGCAGTGAGCTATGATGATGCCACTTCACTCTAGCGTGGGTAACAGAGTGAGACTCTGTCTCAAAAAAAAAAAAAAATCTTCTGGGTTGACAGGGGCTCAGCTAGTTGATTCTGCTGGTCTCACTACTTGGGGTCCCACATGTGGCTGCAGTCAGAAAGCTCCAGGAGCTAGAATGTCCAAGACAGCTGGCTCACATGTCTTGAGTCCTGGTGGGAACACATGGACTGCTGGGATGGATGGTCCTTTCTCTCTCTCTCTGGGTCAAGGCCGCTCTCTCTGAGTGGCCTCTGCAGCAGAGTAGCTGATTTCTCACCTGGGAGCTTATGGGTCCCCAAAGCACAAAAGCAGATGCTGCCAAGTCTTAGTTCTGGACCTGGCACAACCTCACTTCCGCTGCATTCCACTGGTTCAAAGGAGTCACAGGCCAGCCCAGATTCAATGAATACCAGGAGTCCTGGTTCATGGGAAGCCATCTTTGGAGACCAGCTACCACAGTTTATGGGTCCCAAATTCCTAAGGTTGCTCTTCTAAGTTCCAGACCCAAACATCCAATGGCCTACGGAACCTCTCTTCTTGGATGTTCCGCCGAGCTATTCAGGCTCTTTCACCACCCCAGCTCCTTCTCTCCCTCTGCAACTCTTTCCAGCTGAGAGTTAGTTAGCATCACCTCCATGCAGGAGTTCAAGCCAGAGACTTAGCAATCATCTTTGGCTCCTCCCTGTCTTCAGTCCCCGTGTTCCATTTCTTAAATACCTCTAGAATTACATCTCTCTATCTCCACTGCTGATACTCTAATAAACGATCATGGCTAAGATTAGTGAGTGCTTGCTGTGTGTGTAAACACTCAGGATGCATCCATTTAGGCTTATCTCCATTTTGCAGATGATGAGCCTGGAGGCCAGTAGAGGTTAGATAATTTAGGCAAGTTATAAGTACTCTATTCAGTAATGGGGAGGACTGAGAGGCTTTGAGCTTTGCACGAGGCAGTCCTGACTCCAAAGCCTTTGTGCAAGCCAGTGTCCAGAAGCCACTCAGTGCAGGCCACTATCATCTCTCGCTTGGACTTCCACAGCAGCCTCCCAACTGGCACTCCTGCTTCTAACCTGGCCCTATTTAATCCATACTCCATGCTGCAGTCAGAGGGATCTTTCTAGAATACAAAGTAGGTCATGGCGCTTCTCCGCTTAAAACTTTTAATGGGTTCCCTCTCTTGCCCTCGAGATAAAAATCTAATTTTTCCTAATTTTTTTTTTTTTTGAGAGAGTGTCTGGCTCTGTTGCTCAGGCTAGAGTGCTGTGGCGTCATCATAGCTCACTGCAACCTCAAACTCCTGGGTTCAAGCGATCCTCCTGCCTCAGCCTCCTGAGTAGCTGGTAGTACATGCTCAAGATGGGGTCTCGCTCTTGCCCAGGCTGGTCTCGAACTCGTGGCCTCAAGCAATCCTTCTGCTTTGGCCTCCCAAAGTGGTAGGATTACAGGCTTGAACCATTGCGCCTGGCCCTTTTCCCAATAAATAATAAAGTTCTTCACAAGTTGACCCCTGTTGGCTTGACAGTGTAGCAAGGGGCAATGCTCCTCCATGGGGGCATTTCGGAAATTTGGTTTTCTGTCTGTCGCAATAATAAGGATGTGTTACTGGCACTGGATGGGCAGGGGTCCGGGATGCTGGAGTGGTGCAATGCAAGGGATGGTTCCACACAGCTGACCTTGGGTTCCACATGACTCTTGAATGTCCTGCTGGACATTCTATGTGAAAAATCTATTTATAATTTTCTGAGCTTAGAATTCGTCTCCGTTAACCAACCCTACATCCAAAGGAGAAAGGGACATGTTTATTTCTGGTTCACTCGTACTGTGACAATGCAGTCCTTTGGGTCCCATCTTTATGGAGGAAGGATTTCCTGTTAAATTCCCCCTGTCGAGGAGGTTCTCGGGTGTTTCCTTTTCCGGTGAGACAGTGATGAAAGCTCAAGTTTACCTAGTTAGGCAAGTGCCCTGAGAGCAAAAGCTTGCTTCAGTGTTCCACTTATCTCTATGTCCCTTGTTTTCACTTGCTTTGTTTTGCCCTGAAAATTCCTTACTTTACTTTTTCAGTAGCTCACCAAAGCATTTAAGATTTTAAAAAATATTTTTATCAGGATTTTTAGTTGTTTTTAGGGAGACAGTCTTCCAGGTACTTAGCCAGGCAAAGGAAACCACAAACACGAAATATTTTTGCACATATTTAATATAATCTGTCTTTTCCAGGAATGCAACTATTAATACTATGTAAATTGTTTTGTATTGTTCAGTACTTTACTATGAGTTGTTCTCCATTATGGAAAATCACAACACCAACGGCAATGTTGCCCAATCCAACACTCTTAGGTCAGTCTGCATTTATCCCTGCCACATTCTTAGTGATTCTACATGTGGGTGCCAGTATCTGACTACTTTACTATATCTTCCAATGCAGTGATGCTGGAGTATTTGCATATTGAAATGCCTTCCTTTTGTTTGTCTTTTTTATAGTCAGGGCATTGTATAGATTTGTTTTTTGAAATCATGTACCCAGGTATATTATCTATTAATTTCATACAAAATATTTGTTATAAGAAAGGGACATTGGGCTTGGTAGGGTACAGAGTCACTGGTATGGGATTTGAGAGTACGGACTCTGGGGACAGTTCTGCTACTTTGTAGGTAGTGACTTTGAGCAAGATGGTTAACCTTGCTGTGTCTCAGTTTCTTCATCTGTAAAATGGGGGTAAAATACCTACCTCAGGAAGTAATTTGTGAGGATTAAAAGAGTTACAACATGTGAAGTTTTGACAGTGCCTGGCACATGGAAATGTTAATAGATGTCAGACCTATGATGACTTGTTTGACCTAATTTCTTGCCTAACCCCTAAGTTCTAGCCCTATCAAAATGCTTTCAGTTCTTGGAATGTGCCATGATCCTTCTTGCTTTGCACATATGCTCCCTGGAATGCTTTTTCTTCCCTCCTCCCTGGCCGATTCCTACCTATCCATCAGGCCTCACTTAGAACATGGGTAATGGCCTCATTGAGTTACTTTCTTTATGAAGCCTATCACCCTCTCCCCAAGTCTGGGTGAGAAGTTCCTGTATCCACCCCAGTGGCTGCCCAGCGATGTTATAAAGTGTTGGGGGCTTACATTACCTATGGTGGGCAGGGAATGCTCTCTGAGGAGGGGGCATTTGAGTTAAGGCTTGGAAAATGAGGAAGAGGCAGAGTATAGCTAGTACAAAGGCCCTGAGGTGGGAACTACTACAGTTGGTGTGTTGCAGTGACAGAAATCAGGTCCATGTAGTGTATGTAGCCTGAACAAGGTGGGGACTGGTAGGGGATGAGGTTGAAGAACTGGGAGGCTCTGGTAAGGAGTTTAGATCCATCTCCTGGCCCAATCACCTCACCTTCAGGAATGCAGGCAAGACATAGATACTTTAAAATCTTTACCTTTGTACCCACTGATCCCTAGGGCCCATAATGTGTTCCCTGCCTTCTCTGATTAGTAATAAAATTCTACTCATCCTTCAAGGCTCAGTTCAAAACCATTTAGGAAAATTTCTCCCATTCTTTAATAGGAATTAATCACTCCCTTGTCTGATGTCCTACAGCATATATGTCCCATGGTACTAATCACACACTGACTTGCATCTCAGCTAGCTGTTTACATACCAGTCTTCCCAACACAGTGAGTTCCCTGAGGGTAGAGGCTCTGTCTTAGTCACCTCTGTAGTCATCTCCTGGTGCCTAACCCAGTGTCTGGCCCACAGCAGGTTCTCAATGTGACATTTGCTTGATTAGTGCCTGGTGCCCAGCACTACTCACAGCAGAACAGAAGGAAAACAAAAATAATAACTTAGGGTTTATCACGTGTTTTCCCATTCACTGCCTGATTGGAGCCTTCCAACAACCCTATGAGACAGGCACTATTATACCTATTTTACAGATAGAATAGCTGAGGCCCTAGGGCACACAGCTTGTAAGTAATGGGTACAGTTCCAAGTCTATCCCCTTACTTTGGATTCAGCGCTAGGAATGGAGTTGACCCAAACAGTATCTTGAGGATATATGGCAATGGGGTTGGCTGCAACGGAAAAGGCTTTTGTGGGTGGACTAGGGAGGGGTCCTTAGTCAGCTGCCACGGAGTTAACAGCATCTCCCCCCCCCCCACCCCGGGAGGGTACAGGATTTCTCTTCCTGGTCCAAGGAGTTGGAGGAATACGCAGACTAAGCTCCAGTCCTGGGCTGGAGGAACCCCCGGCCCGCGAAAGAAGAGACCAGTGTTCAGGTCAGGTGGCTAAAGATGACGTAAACGATGACTTGCTAGCAGGGGTCTGCTTCTCTGTTGCTATGACAACCGGAGCTTGACTACTTGGCCCTTGCAAGGTTGGCTGAGGCGGTTCTTCGTTAACTGGACATTAGGAAAGGACATTTATGGGGTAGGGTGTGTGTGTGTGTACGGTGGAGTAAAGACGAAAAAGAAATATATTCAAAGAATGACTCTGCTTAGCCCCGTGTTTCTCCACCGTGGCAACACGCTAGAATGAATCACCTGAGCAATTTTAAAAGTACCAATGCCTAGGCTGTACTCAAGACCAACTAAATCAGAATATTCGGGGAGTGTAGCCCAGGCATCACTAGTTAGTAAAATCTTCCCAGGTGATTCTAACTGCAGCCAAAATTGCAAACGCTGATTTTCAGCTGATATTCAGCCGGTAAGCGAAGTTCTCGAGACCTTCCCAAGATGGCTGATGATCCGGCCGCTCCTGCTTTTACGTGCGCCAGCAGGGGGCGGGCTTTCGAGGGGCGCATGCGTCTAGCGTCTCTTCTCGCTCTGCTCCCTCCTCCTTTTTTCCCCCGCCTCCATTTTGTTCGCGGACGCTGGGGACGGTGGGAGCAGATCCATTTCCGGGTTGGCAAAAGGGGCGGCGGCGGCGGCGAGAAAGAGAGCCTGCTGGGGGGCGAGCGGGACAGGACCAAGCCGGAGCGGAGGTGGCGGAGGATTCGCTCCCGGAGCAGCTGCGGCCAGGTCGGAAAGAGGCTAGGGCGGCTGAGTCCGTCGCTGAAATGACCTGCGGACCTGAGTGGGAGGGAGAGCCGGGGGAGGGGGGCTTGGGGCGGGGCTTGAGGATAGAAAGGGGAATTGGAGGAGGGGCCTGAGGAAGGAGAAGGGTCCTGGGGGCGGGGTCTGAGGGACGGGGGCCTGGGGGCTGGATCTGAAGAACCTGGAAGAGAATGGGCGTGGGGAGGAGTGGTAGGGAACTGGTTTGGGGCTAGCGCGGACTGTGAAAATAAGGAGGAAGGTTTTTGAGAGACAGGAAATAAGGGCTCCTGAAGGGTTGGGTAAGGTAAGGCGGCAACTCTGGGTGAAGAGCGAGGTAGCCGTGCGCAAAAAGGGAGACGAGGAAGGGAGGACCTGTTGGGAACAGCTAATTAGCAGGATGCTGTGGGTGAGGAGGCCAGTGTGACATTTTGGGGATTGAGTTAGGTGAAAACCAATGGTTGGGAGGATGACTTGGGAAACTGCTTACACTAGAGGGAATCTTGAGTGCGTTAGTTGAGAGGGAATGGGAATTGTGTTAAAAGTTGGATTGAGAAGTGTTGAGATGCGCGTGGGACCACCTGGAGTTGAGGGCTCATGTTGAAGCGGTGTGAAGTGAGGGAAGATGGAAATCTTAAAGTGTTAAACTTGGGCAATATGCGTGGTTGAGTTACTGGTCAGGAAGGAAAGTTCGTAAAAGATAACGTTGGGATGAGGAGCTGGAAGAAGCTGGTGTGTAATGGAATTCAGACTTAAAGGGATTTGAATCTATTACTGCTTTTGGCTCTCCCAAGGCCTACCTCTTTTTTTCATACTGTTATTTTTTGCCTTACAGTTTTTATTTCTGAATGACTTACTGTTTTTTTCTTTTTTTCTTTTTATATATAAAGACGGGGGTCTTGCTCTTGCTCAGGCTGGTCTCGAACTTCTGAGCTCAAGCGATCCTTCCGCCTCGCCTTCCAGAGTGCTAGGATTACAGGCATGAGGCACCGCGCCCGGCCCTGAATGTTTTTGTATACTCTTTTCTTCTTTTACAAACCAGAAGAGAACCTCAGGGAATAAAGGCTGTTTTAGCCCATCTGTGGATTTACTAAGTAACTTTGAGACAAATCATTAAGCTCTCATTTTTTCCCCTTTGAAATATAGGTCTGGTCCATCCCTGTCTCTAAAAGCTCATGTTAACCAAATGGAATCTTTAAAGTGGTATAAACAAGGTTGAGATACTGATATTTAGAAGACGTGTCTTTCTCGATTTCTTCTTGTCAGGCTTGCTGCATTTTTTTTTTTGTGCCAGGGAAGAGTTGGTTTTGATTTGATGCATGTTCAATTTTCTTTTTCCCCGAACTTCATTGTTTCTAAAGATGTTCAATTTTTTAATTCTTCTTAATGTCAACTTTTAGAAGTCAGAAATTTCATATTGTGTTACATTGTGTTGGCTGCCATCAAGATGAAGATAGGAAAATTAAACTTGGGAATGAACGAGGTCAGTTGGCTGTGGGAGAATGCAGTGTTTTATTTTCTAGCCACCTGTTGGCTCTTCATATCTGTCAGTGGGTTCTGCATACATGGATTCAACTAACCTCTGATCAAAAATATTTGAGGGAAAGGCCAGGTGCAGTGGCTCACGCCTGTAATCCTAGCACTCTGGGAGGCGGACGAGGGGGGCATTGCTTGAGCTCAGGAGTTTGAGACCAGCCTGAGCAAGAGTGAGACCCCGTCTCTACTAAAAATAGAAAAATTCACTGGGCATGGGGCACATACTTGTAGTCCCAGCTACTTGGGAGGCTGGAGGCGGGAGGATTGCTTGAATCCAGGAGTTTGAGGTTGCTGTGAGCAAGGCTGATGCCCTGGCACTCTACTCAGGGCAACAGAGTGAGACTTTGTCTCAAAAAAAATAATAAATAAAAATATGTGAAGGAAAAAAATGGATGGTTACATCTGTACTGAATATGTATAAACTCTTCTTGTCTTATTCCCTAAACAATACAGTGCAGCAACTATTTACGTAGCATTTACATTGTGTTAGGTATTATAAGTAATCTGAAGATGATTTACAGTGTATGGGAGGATATGCATAGGTTACATGCAGACACTACACCGTTCTTCATAAGGGGTTTGAGCATCCATGGATTTTGGTATCTGCATGAATACTGGAGCCCATCTCCCACTGATACTAAGGGACAACTGTATTTTACTCTTTTTTTTTTTTTTTTTTTTTGAGACACAGTCTTGCTCTCCTGGGCTAGAGTTACAGTGGCAACATCATAGCTCACTGCAACCTCAAACCCTTGGGCTCTGGTGATCCTCCTGCCTCAGCCTCCTGAGTGGTTGGGACTACGGGTGCATGCCACCACGCCTGGCTAATTTTCTCTATTTGTAGTAGAGATCACCTCACCTGGTCTGTATCTTACTCTTTACAAACACTGACCTTCTTCATGAACCCTGAAGAATTCGTTGGAAAATAGTATTTTGCACAGTTGAGCCTTATGTTTTTGTCCAGTCACTGTGGCCTTGGTTGGTAGAGCCCAGTGTGCAGTGAACAGTTTTAGCTTCTTTATTGTTAATCCACTGAAATCCCGTTTTAAATTTTTTTTTTTTTTTTTGAGACAGAGTCTCATTCTGTCACCTGGGCTAGAATGCAGTGGCATCATCATAGCTCATTGCAACTTCAAACTCCTGGGCTCAAGTGATTCTCGTGCCTCAGCCTCCTGAGTAGCTGGGATTACAGGTATGTGCCTGGCTAATTTTTTTTTTTGTGGCATTGGGGCGGGTCTTGCTTTTCTTCAGGCTGGTCTCGAACTCCTGGCCTCAAGCAATCCTCCTGTCTTGGCGTCCCAGAGTGCTAGGATTACAGGTGTGAGCAACTGTACCTGGCCTGTTTTAGCTTTTTCTTTGGGCGTGATCCTCTGAACACTTTGCCCAAAGGTGAACTTGTTTAGCTTAGAAGTGTTCCTGAAAGTCTTGGCATTTCTGAGGTGTGATGTGGATTTGCTAAAGAAGGGGCAGTTTCTAATTGTAATTCATTCTTGATATCAGAATATTGTTTACCCTAGTTGGTACTGATGAGTGGTGTCAGCACAAAGGTGAAATGCAGAGGGGGTGGAAGCTATGGAGAACAGTGGAGTTTTCAAATTTTACTGATGGTTTTTAAGAAAGAGGGAAGAGAGAGGAGACTGTTGAAGAGGAAATTATCGAATGTTCTTTCTTGACTTCTTGGGCTTTGTGATTGGGAAAGTAACCTGGTGCACTTGAGTCTGTTTTCCTTTGGCTCTGAAGTAATTCTGAAATTCACGGGCTGTTGATTCAGGCTGTTTGAGGAAAACATAGTTTTCATATTAACCCCAGGAAGAACTGCAGGCCTTGAAGCATATTCACTTATTTTGGGGGGTAAAAACCTGCTAATATTAAGCTGTCATTTCAGCCTACAGTGTACCTTTTTGGATTGTTTTTAAGAGGGGTTTGAGATAACCTATGGAGGCTGAGAGCTCCTGGGCAGGCTCTTGTTATAGCCCGCTGCTTTATCGTAATGATTTTCAATTTTTCCTATCCTGTCTGTTTGCCTTTGCTCCGCTTGTGCCAGTCCTAAGTGGAAAATGGCAAATTATATATTTTTTCCTCTCCTTTTTAGTCTTTGGTGGACATCTTGTCTCTGTCACAGTTTGATACTACCAAATTGAAAGGATTCTTCACTGCTTCAAATGGGGAGGGTGACAGAAGCTTAGCTTGGTTTCCTGGGTCAGAGAATGGACTCTGTCAAAGCAAAGAATAGTTGCAGAGACATAAACTGGGACCTTGAGGCTGTGACTAACATTTTGGCAACATGCATCTCTTTGCCAAATAACTTCTTTTCTTCTTGAGTGTGATTGTTGATCTCCTTCTCAAAGTAGGCTCTTGTTGCTGCTGTTCTTCACACAATTCCCAAGCAGAAGTTGGCAGAGTTCCAGTTGACTGACTGTCTTTTGAGGGATATGCCCTGGATTAGAGTGGATGGGGTGTTCCATGTCAAAATGAGGTTCATTGGCAGATCCTGAGAGCTGCTTTGCAAAGAAATAGAGGCAGTAGTCTTTACCGAGTGTTCTTGCAATCCTTTATCTTTCGTTTAAATTCAAATCTGTTTCTTATTCATCTGGTGATTAAATGCAGAATCATTGCCTTTGCCTAGCTGTGAAAGTCCAGGGTATTGAGGGAAGAGAAGACAGTATTTCCAACTTTTCTTTTTTTCTTTCCCCACTTCCAAGCCTTTGAGCTTGAGGAGCCACAGGCAGAATATACAAGTGTTTCTTGATATTATCTATAGAGGGGTACTGAAAGTATTGAAGAGAACTTTATGGGGAAAAACGATGTTAGTAGGAAAAAGAGGTGATACATTTGCTGATGCCTGTGTTAGTCTTAAATCTCTTAAGATTTTGGCTTAGCATGCAGAAAGAGCCTGTAGAATTATAAAAGTTATCAAATAGGGGAGCCAGGAATTGGTTCCTAACTTGCCATTTAGGCTTGGCAAAGTTAGAGCAGTTTAGAATAGCTGACAGTGTGTTCTACTTAGTAAATACCCCTTTGTTTTTCAGGAAATAATTAGCTGAAGATAACATTGTCTTCCATAGGTCCTGGGGCGGATTATGAAGATCATTTCTTGTACTATGTGACAGTGGCCCCAACCCCAAAATGAATCCTTTTGTTGGTGGCCCTGGATTCAGCTTTCTCCTGCCATCATTAGTCCAGAGTATTCTGTTCCTGACATGCAGGTTTGAGAACCTAGCAGTTTCAGATCCAAAGGTTTTAACTCTGGCCCAGTGTTTCGATTGTGATAACAAATTTGATTATAAGACTTGGGTTTAATCCAGTCTCAGGGCTTTCTTTCCTGAAGAGTGTCTTGAAATTTGGCAGTTCTATATATCTTAAGGTATGTGTGTAGATTTCCTCCCCATTCTTATAATTGATTTTCAAAAAGATTATAGTTTCTTAAATTTCATGGATTCAAATTGACAAAA